ATAAATTCAAAAAGATTTGCCTGATCATTGCATCCGAATTCCTTACCAAATTTGAAATAAAAATAAAATACGGAAAACAAATACTAATAATAAAAATAAGTAAAAATAAAAAGAGAATTAAGTTTAGTGAGTGCGCAAGCATGTTTTTGACACCGCCATCTTTGGCGATTTTTCATTTTTCTTGGGCATAGCCAAATATCCTGAAAATTTACAAATGTGTACTTCACATAATACAAAACCCACTAAAAAAGTTTCAAAAAATAAGAAAATTGTTTAGACCCCGAACTAAAGTGAAAACAAAAAGTAAAAAGTGAAAAAATACGTGGGCGAGCACGTTTTGTTGTGTTAGATTGAGGTACTGATCCCAGGAACAGGGACCGGTACCCGAACGCATTTTGTAGTGTGTGTGCTTTGGTTTGGAATGTGACACTGTTTTAGATAACTGACGACCTGGTTATATACAGTAGTACCGTGAAGGTCGATCTCTTTTCAGGACTGACGGTACCTCCCGCTATTCCGGAATAGTTGGGGTAACTGAAGTGGGCGTGATGAACGAAGGGATAGTCCGTGGATAGTTGGTGGCGAACCCCCTGAGGAGGCAACGGCAGTTGCCGAAACGCAGCGTCGGGGACGTTGATCCTGAATGGTGTTCCTGTGATATTCTAAACCATTCATTGATTTGAGTTTGACTTTTGTGTACTTAACGCGACTTTGTCGTGTACGGCTTGTTGAGTACTTCTCTCTCGTTTTCACCTTTTCTATACTACTTACTGCGCACGTGAACAGTCTTGGAAGAAAATTACCGAGACATGTGAGCGTGTTCTTTTTGTTCCACTTACGTCGCTTACACAATATGTAGAGGAGCTGATCTGTGAAGATGAGTGGCCGCGGGGAGTATGACAGAAGGGACCGGCGATCAAGTAGCCAAGATCGAGGGAACCACCGTGGTCCGGATAGTGGACAACACTTAGGCGTGGACAAGTATTATCACCACTCTCCGCCGAGATGCTTTGCATGTAATGAACGTGGTCATTACGCCAACCAATGTAAGAATCGATGGTGGTCGAGGGATGACCGTCCATCTACCTCCTCCGAGACCGGGCATGGAAGGTCGACATCACCAAGAGGCTACCCCAAGGAGACGTCTACAAAGGAAGTGGATAAGCTCCATCTTCAAATCGAGGAACTCAACCGCAGCCTCGCTTCAGTCTCGGAGTTCGTCCAAAGTGAGAAGGCTAAGAAGGAAGCTGAGGAAAAAGCAAGGCGTCACGCCGAAGAGGATGAACTGCGGAAGATGGCGGAGAAGGAAGCACGTGAGAAGAAGGAGCGCAAGAGGTTGGAGAAACTACAGAAGGAGAAGGAGAGGGATGCTGAATTTGAAAAGAAGATGGAGATGCAGTTAGCAATGAAGACTGGCCGCTTCCTCGATCGTCTGGAAGCCAACTTGGGACCGGTCCTTGATGTTCTGAAACAGGCACGCGGAAAGAAACAAGTGGCCCATATCTCCGACCCTGGCTCTGAGTCAGGGTCTGGGAGTAGTGGAAGCGAAACTGAAGCAATCCGCCCTCAAACGCGGAAGCTGACAATCCACGAGAAGCGTAATAGAGGGCCGGAACCCGTGTTTGAAGACAGCCCGCCGATGGTAACGCCAACGAAGAGGAAATCACGCGGAGCAAAGGAAAAAGGAGCGGCAGCTGCTACACGGGGCACGCGATCGAAGGCGAAGTTGAAGACGAAAATTTCTCCTTACCTGGCGAAGACGAAGAAGAGCCCTGGTCAACCAAGCACCGTCGTGAAGCTGCGTTACCGCAATCAAGCTATGGATGTACTCCGGAATTTGGACGCACATGAGCTGCAGGGGATATGCAAATACAAAGGCATAGCGTACACCGGCAAGATCGATGCGATATTCGATATTGCAAGTCATCGGACAAGGAAGCACTTCGGGGAGGTTGAACCTATTGATTTGTCAGAAGTTCTTGAAGTTGAGGAAGAAGCCTCGGCAACAGGTGATGACGGAGGCCAGGAGGAAGGAGTTTGATGTGATTTCGGAACTGATGAGATATGATGCTTAGTGCACGAGTTGACTAGTTTACGGAGTAAGGATTGCAGTGTGGATAGTGAGGTTGAGGATCTGCTACGATTGTGTGTAGTTGTCCTTTCATTTCGTGGGGTAATCAAGTGGACGAGGAAGTTCCTGAGCTATTGGAAGAAACTTATTACGAAATTTGGGGTTAATTTCGCAAGTGTGAAGAACTGTGTGTATGTGGCTTTATCACCATTCTGCAAACACCAGTATGTGGGGAAGATGAATCGGGACGTCAACGTTAGATGGAGAGAGCATCTTGCAGCTTGTCGCAGTAAAAAACATACTCACTTCCATCGCTGGCTCGGTTGCTTCGGTCATGGCAACTATGTTTTGATGCCTGTTGACTATTTGGAGGGTAACGAGTTAGTCAAGTTGGAAGGGGTGCACATTCGACGTTGGTCCCCGTTCTTGAACACGAGCGGGTGCAAAAAGTGGGGTCGCGGCAGTAAGAGACCGTGTAGTGGGAGGAATGAGAGAAGAAAGAAAGAAGGGACACGTTACACCAGCTTGACTGTTGTACCGGTTAAGGTGCGTGAGGAAAGTAGCGTTGTATGGAGAGTGGAATTATCAGAGCTCCTCTGTGAGAAGGAAAGGCAAGGCGTGAGAAACTTCTCAATCGTGTCGAATGGAGGTAATACTTGGATGATTGGTTGGAAGAAGTTCCGTAAGCGCTTCGGTGAATCAACTATTCGGATAGATGGGAAGGATGAGCCCGGAGGGTGGAAGGATTGACTTCGAGTATCTCCGAGTTTGAAAGTCGAGTTGTAATTTCCTTAAGCAGCTTCTTGTCGATATTTTGAGGAACCCGCATAGGCTATTCACTATCCGCAAGTGGGGTTTGAGATCTACTATTGGGCTGTATGGAGCTATCAAGGATTTTCATAAGAAGTCGACTCGTAAGTACCTGAGAAGGCTGATATCTCGCGTGATCGGCAAAAGGTTTGATTTGAGTATGTCTGCTGACCTTGTCATTCGGGTCAAGTTTGACGATCGTGTTTGTTTGAATGAACTTCGGAACATCGTGAATGATGGAGTGATGGAGTGTGTGTTGCCGGACAGTTTTCGGAAGCGTGCTAGGAAGAAGATCTGAATCGTTTGGACTAAAAACCAATTGATCGGAGATATTCTTCATAATCAGCGGCTTTTCGCTGCTCGTCAGTTTTTGACCTTCATTTGCTCGGGGATGTCTTATCCAAGAGTGGAAGGACATGTATGCTTTCGCCTTAAGGACGGGGAACCACACCACCAAATCCTCTCTAATGCCAATGATGTTCCGCGGGAAGTAGCCGTTAATCGCGTTGACCGTCTGCAGAAGGAAGTCGTAGATGGATTTGCGACGTGGAAAAATTTGAAGGGACCGATTCCGGCATTTTCGAGGGAAAAGGTGGAAAGGTGTGTTGATGTGTGCACTACAGGAGCAACGAAGCTATGTTTGGAGGACGTCTTGAAGGTGAAGTGGGAGTTGAAGGGACTCGTCCTTACCCCTCTCGATCGGAACCCTGGTGATACTTTGGTGATTTGTCCGCTAGTGTACCATACCGCAATGATGAGTACTTTTGTTACTAGTGAAGGCTATAGGATTGTGCAGGATCTTCCGGAGAAGATCATCGAAGGTATGAAGCAGGAGATGTTGTCGAAGGGCTTGAAGAAGGTGGTACAGTGGGACCCGAAGGGAAGGTTCGGTGTGTCTTATGTGTTACCGAAACATAAATACATTAGCCGATACTGACCGATCTGCCCGACTTTCAATGAACCTATGGTTCGCGAGGGTAGGCTGGTCGCTAAGGCCCTCAACCACCTCTTGTTCCGATTACCGATCGATTGGCACTTTAACCTACAGGCCGTGTCACATCTCGCTGGACATCTGCAACAGATCAATCAATTGATCAGAACGAAGAGTGCCACACCAGAGGTGGAGTCGACTTCCTTTGACATCAAAGATATGTTCAGCCGACTCCCTCACGATGACATTATGGATGTTGTTCACTGGATTGTTATGCACTACCGGAGGAAGGGTGTGAGCGCAGTTCGGGTCAACACAAGGGGGAAAGGGGCGACATTCGGAAAAACGACCGGCGCCGATCATTGGAGATGCTTGGAGTTGACTGATGTTGTGAAGTTCGTCGAATTGGAACTCCACCATACGTACACTTTTGCAACAAGTGTGCTGCTGAAACAAGTCGTGGGTATACCAATGGGGAAGAGCACGAGCCCCCCATTGGCTTGTATTATGTGTGCTATGGCTGAATTGAAGTTCATAAGTAGCCTGGGCAGACTCAGGAGGCATGTCTTTGGCATTCGTTTGGTTAACGACGTAATGTTGGTAACTGCTGCGTTATCAACAGACGTTCGGAAGGATGTTCAGAGGAGATTTGAGAACTGCTACCCGCAGAACTTGTTGCTCAAACGCACAGATGACGGATTAGGTGTCCTGCCATTCCTCGGATGTGAAGTTCGTACTTTCCAGACCTTCCCTTACTTGGGCTGTGTGCAGTTGGTCAAGAACGAGGAGATTATTTGGAGTGAGGAGAAGTTGACGTTTCAAAACGGGCAGTCCTTCTCATCATGGGGGAGCAAACAGCTGAAGAATGCGATCATCGGTGGACATCTCCACCAGATTGATCGTAACACTACAATTCGTGAGGAGGTCCCTTTGGGAGTGTTGACTGTGAAAAGAGAACTGCGGATGAAAGGTTACCCTCGTGAAAACTTCGAAAGAATTCTGAGGATTTTTGCATTAGGGAAGGATGAGTTCTGGAGGAGGACCGTTAACTTGCTGTGCAGTAAGGAATGGGGTTAGACTCGGATCAAGAAGCAGGGTTTGCTCATGCATCAAGTGTACTGATGGATCTACGGACTGGGTTTGCCAGATCGTATGTGGTTTTTTCTGCTTTCTTCTGCCTTTTCTGGTCTGAGATTGGTGCTTAGATGAAGGGGATCGTCTATTTTTGGATAGACTATGGACAGGGGTTGCCAGATCGTATGTGAATTTTTCTTGCTTTTTCGCCTTTTATTTTGAGATTGGTGCTTAGATGAAAGGAATTGTCTATTTTAAGATAGGTGCAGCCTGTAGTATCTGCCTCCACCTGTGGACAGGGCTGGCCGAGTAGCTCGTGGTGTTCTTCTGAGATATGGGGGCTCAGAGTAACGAGTAGGAGGTTGTACTATGAGTTGTGGACAGGGTTTCTTTCCTAGGTTTCATAGGATTAGTCGAATATGCAGTGTGTCTTCTTTTGTGTTGTCTTGGCCGATGGACCAGGTGCGTGCTGTAGGCCCTTCTTCATTTATTTATTTTTCTACAGGAGTGTCCTTTTGTTGTGTCAGATTGAGGTACTGATCCCAAGAACTGGGACCAGTACCCGAACGCATTTTGTAGTGTGTGTGCTTTGGTTTGGAACGTGACACTGTTTTGGATAAGTGACGACCTGGTTATATACAGTATTACCGTGAAGGTCGATCTCTTTTCAGGACTGACGGTACCTCCCGCTATTCCGGAATAAATGGGGTAACGGAAGTGGGCGTGACGAACAAAGGGATAGTTCGTGGATAGTTGGTGGCGAACCCCCTGAGGAGGCAACAACAGTTGTCGAAACGCAACGTCGGGGACGCTGATCCTGAATGGTGCTCCTATGATATTCTAAACCATTCATTGATTTGAGTTTGACTTCTGTGTACTTGACGCGACTTTGTTGCGTACGGCTTGTTGAGTACTTCTCTCTTGCTTTCACCTTTTCTATACTACTTCTATACGTTTTGACACCGCCATCTTTGGCGATTTTTAATTCTTATTCGGCTTAGCCAAATGTCTTGCAAATTTATAAGCATGTACCTCAAGTCATAGAGAACTCACAAAAAACATTTTCGAAAAACCTAATTATTTTTAGGCCCCGAAATAATTTTTGGCGGGGTCCGAACGTCGTCGGGTTCGGACCCCGTACGGGACCCCGAACGCCCATACGTACGGAGGTCTGCCCGGGGACCTCCGTACGTACGGGCTGGTGACCCTGTATATATATATATATATATATAGTCAACCAAAGTTGCCCGGTAAACCGTTAGCGAAAAGGGAGAAGAGGACAACAAATGAGGGGTTGTAACAAACTTTTTCGTCGAAGTTCCACCGACTCATCTAGAGGTTGAACCCTCAACAATCTGCAAAATATATATATATATATCGGGTTGTTGACGTTGGGGTTCGGCCCAACTCCCGAACCCAAACCTGGCGAATGTTTAGCCTCCCTTGGGGATGCGTTCGACCGTTCAGTGGGAACACGGATCTAAAAAAAATATAAGTATGTGTATTTATACTTATATATATAATATAAAAAACAATCCAAAAATTAGAAAAAAAGTAAAATTAGTGAGTGGGCGACCACGTTTTCGATACCTCCATTTTTGAAGATTTTTTATTTTTTTTTATTGGGATAGCCAAATGCCCTAAAAATTAACAGATGTGTATTTCACATAATAATACGATAATATAAAGCTCATAGAAAAAAATAAAAAAATAATAAAATATTTTAGGCACCAAAACAAAATTCAAACAAAAACTAAAAAGTGAAGAAAAAAAAAAAAAAATGGTCGAGCATGTTTTGTCACCACAATCTTTGGTGATTTTTCATTTTGTTTTTTTATTGGCAAAATGCCTTGAAAATTTATATGCATGTAGTGCATGTCATATAAAACTCAAAAAAATAATTTCAACAAAAAAAAATAATTTTTAGGCCCCAAAATAATTTTTGATGGGGGCCAAAGCCCTTCCGGCTCGAACCTCGAATGGGAGCCTGAAGACCCAAACGTTCAGGGCTCAAACCGAGGGGGCCTGAACATTCGGCTTGGTAACCATGTATATACATATATTTACATATATATATATCGTCACAAACAGAGCTGCCCGGTATATACATATATATATACAGGGTAACCGGCGTTCGAGACGTGCCTAATGCCCGAACTCGAACGCCCGAACGTATGGGACCCCTTGGGGATGCGTTCGGT